AAGCTCAGGGCAGCTTACATCAGTAAAATCTCACAATAAACCCTCCCAAAAAAACCCTCCCCTTAAAACAATATTAAACATAGTGAAAATTAAAACAATTAAGGTGACAATTAAAACAATTTCTAACAATTTACAACTATAAACTTTAAATAATCTAATAGGCAGCCCGCAAGCAGTAAATAATGTGGCAGAATGTGGCAACGGATTGGGGGGGGGGAATAGCTCACACCTTGGCCAGGAATTTTATCAGGAAAGGCCTGCCAGAAGAAATTACCTCCAAAACAAGAGCAACTGAAATTCAGTTCATGAGCCATTGAAATTCACATCACCATTTTGACTGTTCTTCTTCAGCTTAGTTAGGCCTTCTTTGACCATTCTACTTCGGCCTTTAATCTGGTGCTGCAGGGAAACTGTCTTCTGTTCTATCAACACCAAGGCAATCCACCAGATGGCTGCCTGCTTATGTCTTTGTCAGCTAGACATTGATTTATTGACCTGCTTTTATATAGCTCTAAAGACCTTTGCCATAACTCCAGGTCTGGTAGCTAATTTGTGGCCCCTGCACTCTACCTACCACTCAACAAACCAGATTGTGATACCTTGGCTCATTTCTCAAGCACAGTTCTCATCCCTTGGTCTAATCATCATCATCATCATCTCCACACCAGAATACCATCACTCTCTGGATCAGATTACCAACACAGGGAATCGCTAAAGATTCCTTTAATGGTGACCATATACACTGACGTTGATTTATTATATTATTTTGCCTAACATTATTTGCCAATCTTAGACCTTGTTGCCCCAGTATATGTACTCCTTTGAAAGTACTTAACATTATCTGTCTACTATCTACTGTTCCCTTCTCCACACCCAAATTCCTGCCTAAGGAAATCAGCGATGTTTGTGTTGATCAGGCTCCCAACTTCAGTGTGGGATCCTGTCCTTTTGGTGATGATGTTTTGATAGTCCATTATTGTTATACTTAGATTTTTGCATTTTATATGTTGGCCTTGGAAAGGAGTATTATTGGGAAAAGCTTGTGTCAAGCTCCACTCAACTGCAAGAGAGAAATGGAAATAGATGCAGATGTTTAAGCTCTTGTTCTACCTTAGAGCTGGATAATCTTAGAATTGTTTCATTGAATCTTAAAGAGCTATGTTTCCCCTCCCCCCAATGTACTTCAATTGCAAATTAGTTAAAGAAATGACAGCTCAATATCACATTTCTAGGGATGGGGTGTATTTTTTCTAACTCAAACTTTCAAACCAATACACTACTGAAATTCTATGAAAGCCAGAGGAGTGGCAATTTTAATTGACAAAAAATGTCCCTTCTTAGAAGAACAAATAATAAGAGACCCAGATGGTCAATATGTAATTTTGCAAGGCACTGTTGCAGGTAAGAAGCTCACCCTTGGCACTTTCTATTCTCCCAACATGGACCAGAAAAATTTCTTACAAAAATTATGAAAACTCTCTTAGAAATAATTGGTGAAATCATTGTAGGTAGTGATGCAAATGAAGTTCTGGATTATAATCTAGATAGCTCCTGCCACCCCTCTAAAGGGAGTCCAAGAGAAACCTCACTGTCAAATATCATTGCAAAGGCTACTTTTCTTGATCCCTGGAGAATCACACAGCCACATGACATAGCATACACTTTTTTCTCCAACACACATAGACATACTCTAGAACTGACTATTTCCAAATCATTTCTCCCAGAGATCACTGATGTCCAAACCAATCCTATCATTCACTCTGATCATGCATCCTTAATAATGAAATGGAGACAGTCCCAACACCTGAAAACCTGGGTCTGAAGATTTAACCCCTTTCTCCTATCAGATTCTCAATTTCAATCCCAAATTAAAGATACAATTAAAATTTCTTACAAGAAAAATAAAACAGCTGACACCTTAGAAACCCTCCTATGGGATACCTGAAAAGCAGTACTCTGAGGGCAATTTATTCAGGAAGGGGACAAGAAAAAGAAATCAAGAGATCTGACCAGACAGATAATTCGAGATCAAACAACTACAGCAAGTTCACATACCTACTAAAAACCCAAATATATACACCACCCTATTAAAAAAGAAAGCAGAACTAACAAAACCGGAGAATAGGAAAACACAAGTCTCACTGCAATACACCTGGGCATATTATTATGAGTTCAGTAATAAAAATTCCCATTTACTAGCTAGAGCTGTCAAAAAGAAAGCTAACAAAAAATGCAATGTGTCATTGTCCTCCAGCAATGCCAAATTAATCAACTCTTCCAAGGAGATTATCAAAGAATTTCATAAATTTATAAAAACCCTGTACACACCAGAAACCTTAGGTGATTCAACTACAAAAAAATTTATACAAAAGCTAAAACTGGAAAACACATTCTGAATCTCATTGTTTCCTCCTAAACAAACCAATAGAATTGGAAGAAATTTTAAAAAAAAAACACCATAAGCAAATTGAAACCATTGAAATCTCCAGGAACAGATGATTTTTCTGGTGAATTTTACAAATTTCTAATAGATGACCTTGCTCCTTCTTTATATGCCTTCTTTAATGAAGTCATGGATGGCAGTCACATGCACACACCCCAACATATGGCACAGATCACAAATTATTCCCATCCCCAAGATGCAAAATGATAACCCCTTGGTTACAGCATTCAGGCTGATAGCACTACTGAACCAGAATGCTAAATTATTCACATCCA